TTCGTCGTACTCGTCGACGTAACTTACTTACTTACTACGTACGTCGTCTACTTATTAGTAGTATATATACTAACAACTACTACAACTACTACTAGTAGTATATACTACTTACTTACTACTCTCTCTCTCTCTCTCTCTCTCTCTCTCTCTCTCTCTCTCTCTCTCTCTCTCTCAATACAGATGTTTCCATCTTAGTTTTCTCCAAACAGATGAGAACAGTTTGGAGCAAAGGACAAAGTTGACGACATTTGGGATATCTTGTGGAATCGGTGGACGTAACTAAACTCCCAATAATTTTCAAGTCAATAAATAAACTTATATTCTAAAATCATCCACCTCAATATACCAGCATACCCTAAATTGGGAAATGAAATAACAGCAAAAAAAAGATAGCTAAAAATACACCATTGACATCAACAACGGTGATGAAGTCCCAATAATCAGAATGTCAATTTTAGTATAATCAAGATTTTAAAAAATCAAGATGATTTAACTGTATCATTGTATGAAATAATTGGAAATGATAAAAATTACCCTTTGTGGAGCTGGTTGTATAGCAATTCTAGCTTTAGTGATTATTCCAAATTGACCTAAACCCCCCAAAGCTCCATAGAAGAGGTCTTCCTCCTCAGTATGAGAGCAAGTAATTACTTCTCCTTTTCCTGAAATCACATTGAGAGCTCTTATTTCATAAACGAGATAAACCCAACAAAACAAATCAAGAAAAACCCTCTAGAGTAAGCCTAGGGGTGGCAATCAGGTCTGGTTGACCCGAACTGGCTCCAGGTCCAGCATGGACCCTTTCGCGTTGACCCGACACGATCTGTTGGCCTCAGATACTGAAGAAAGGAAACAACTTTTAAGTGCAATGGCTATTACCTGTGACAATCTCCATTTGCAAAACAGTACTAATCTGAGGCCCATGCCTAAAGGCCTGCCCACTAATCCCAGCTTGTGAGAGGGTCCCCCCTATAGAGAGAGAAAGATAATCAGTCCAAGAAACAGGTGCAAATCCAAGTTTAAGAGTGGCCTTAAGCACATCAATCCACAGCTCTCCAGCCCCTGCCTCAACATAGGGATTGTCTCTAGAGAGAGAAACCTCTATACCCTTAATCCCCCTCATTTCCAAAACTACCCCTCTATGAGCTTGAGCCTGACCATTGGTGCAGTGACCATTGCCCCTTGCAGCCACTGTTAACCCTGAAACAGAACTCAAACCCACCTTTATGACATCCACTATGTCCTGAACAGAGCCTGGTTCCACCACTGCACCTGGTTTTCTCACTCTAAAACCCCCAAAATCTTTACTAGCCCTTAGGGTTTCATTGAAACTCAATGAGCCATGAAGGTTGAGGCTTGTTAGGGACATGTAGTCATGGCTTGAGAGATCACACGGTTGGGAATTCTTGCAGTGGACTTCATTCTCCTCCATAAGGAGAACCAGCATGAGGAGGTGTTTAGAGAGAGAAAGTGAACTTAAAAGGGCCATTTTTTTTTTCCTCCAGCTATGGTAACGTGAGTAGATAGAGAAACTGAGAAAGCAGCTCGAGGAGATCTTTGGAAAGGGTACAGGCGATATACTTTCCCTCCCCTGTCAGGGTTGTCTGTACTTTTGGGCTTTATTTCTGTCAGCAGGTGTCAATCTAGGTCTTTCAAACTGTAGAGCGGGGGCATGGGCTTTTTCTAGAGAGAGAAAGAATTAGGGGTGAAAGGACAAGAGGGAGGATTACATGCAAGATCGTGGTTTTGGACCCTTTGATAACGCCAATCATTGCTATTGACGAATGGCTCACGACGAGGAATCATAGTGGCATCATGGGGCTGTTTTTGGCAATCCCACTTGTGACTTAAGTTCTCCAAAAAAAATATTTGCACTATGTTTTAAGAGTATATGTCATTGAATTCTTAATTTTTTTTCAAAAATACCAAAGGCTCTATTTATAGGTGGAAAACGCTCTATTTATCGGTGGAAATTGCAAAGAAGATCAGCATAACTGTTTGTTTGTCTTCTTTCTTTCTTTTTTTTTTCCTTTTTTTTTTTTTTTCAAAATTACCCTGTCGTTTGAGGACATCTTCGGACTGAATTTTAATTTTTTAATTTTTTTTGTGAGTAAGACATTGCCCTAAAGCTTAGAGTATTGCCCTACTAACAAAAAAATCTAAACAAATTCGGACCAAGGATTTCATCCTCATATCAAAAGATAATTTTGAAAAAAAAAAAACGTAGATTGACTGATCTTTTTTTCTAATTTTTGTCTATAAACAAAACATTTCATATTTTAGAAAAACATTTAGAGTCCGTATGTAAATCACTCAAGTTTGAATACAGGATTCCCTCTCTCTCCTTCCTCTGTTGGAAAAATGCTCTCACTCTCTCTCGGTCTTTTAGCTCATCTTGTTATGTTGGGAAAGATCTCCTTCATTTCTCCTTATTGGATGTCGTTTTCATGGTGGAAAGTTTTCGTAGTTGGAATTTATAAGGGCTTTTCTCTCTCTTGTTTGTTTAGAGAGAAAATCTCTCCATATTTGTTTTGAGATTAGACCAAGTTTAATGAGGTTTTCCTATGTAGGGTAAGTCTCTCTCTCTCTCTTTTGTTTTTTCTTTGACAAGTTGCTGGATCATTTTTTTATTCGTTGTTTAATAGTGGGTGGGGTTTAGACCATATTTAAGGAGATGTTTGCCCCTTTTTTCCCATTTAGAGTAAACCTTCTCTCTTCTGTTTCATTTTCTCTTACTTCTTTCTTTTGGAGAACTTTTGACTAATATTACATTGTGTATGCATGAAGAGAGAGAACGAGAGGTGATGGCTAAAGGGTTTTAGAGAGAGAGTGGTGTTGGCTAAATGGGGTATAGAGAGAGACAGAGTGGTGTTGGGTAAAGGGGGTTTGTGTGTACGGTGGGGAGGGTACATCATGGTTTGCGGCCAAATGTGAAGTGGAAGGATTTGTTGGGGTTTTACGCCTCAGAGAAAAGAAGAGGGAAAACAGAAAGGTGTGTGTTGTATGAAATGGACGTTCTCGGGAAGGGTTTAGTGCTATAACTGCGGGTGTACACTTAGAAAATGACTTGCTTCGTTGTTGCCATGCTGTTACTACACAAGTGGACACGCAGAGATTTGAATGCGAGTCCCTTGCACTGTTGAGAAAGGGTAACTTTGTACGAGAGAGACTTTGCACTAGAGAGAGAATTTTGCATTAGGAGAAGAGAGAGAGAGAATTTTGCATTAGGAGGAGAGAGAGAGAATTTTGCATTAGGAGGAGAGAGAGAGAGATTGTGGGGTGGGTTAGAAGTGAAGTTTCATGACTATGCACCAGTGTTTCACTACTCGGGCGAGCCAACCCGGACACGTCCAAGTAACACGGGCTCACCATCCAGTACCCTCGGTAGTCAAACCTGGGGACCTAAAAAAAAAAGAAAACCCTTATATAAGGATGCAATCTTATAATGTAGAGCTACATATGCACCTCAAAATTTTGTCGGAAAAAATAGTTTTAATGTTGAAAAAGCCTTTGATTGATCATCTCGACATCGAGATATATGACCATGAAAAATAAAATGATTTTAATTCTCAAAAATAGTTTATTTTACAACGTATTATCTACCATCCATTTTCCAGATTTTCATATGTTTATAGATCTACTTGATTTTAATCATTTTTTAAATTTAAAATTTTATAATTAGATATAAAATAGATTTTGAGATAATCCTAAGAATATTTTACATCAAAATTATATACCATGATAAATTTTGAAAGTGCACCTTGCCTCTACAGCTACGGATGCATCCGTATGCCAACTGCACCCAAAACAAATTCTAAAAAAATTATAAATATCCAAAAATAAAATGTATTTGATTTTTAAAGAACATGTATTTTATTTTTTATATATTTTCTATCATTTTAGCAAGAAATGAAAAATGTTTCGGTTATGAAAACTTATTTTTACATTTTTCCCTTCTTTTTGGATTATTTCTAAAATATTCTTAGTCACAAAATGATTATTTCAAAATTCATTTTTTACTAATTTTTTAACATCATCTAGATGTATTTATTTTAATTTTATTTCGAACATATTTTTCATATTTTTGGGATTTTTTTTTTTTTAACATTTTTTTACCTAACCAGAATCTGGCAGACTCAAGCCGAGTAACTTGGAACTCGGTCCGGGTTACTGGGCTTCTCGGGCTCAGTCAAATTCCATCCCAAAGTCCTGGTTTCCTGCTACCCACTGAAACTCCACTTTGCCCAAGAAAGGGAGGGATTTCTCGATTTTAACAATCCCACAAACAGAAATTTGCACTCGTGATTGCAGTATAATGTTATTTGCCCAAGAGGGTGAAACAGACAGAGGGAGAAAGACAGATTTTGCAATTTCAATGATGGAAGAGAGAGAGAGAAGGAAGTCATAATTTTCAGGACAATACCATCATTTCCAAATGGCAAATCATTATTGAAAAAGGAGAACGACGACCGCTGTCTTGGTCAATGTGGTGTCCAGCCAGCATTGAAAATGAAAGCCCTCAAATCCTTGGCCAGAGAGGACACAAATGACAATTAGAGCACCTTCAATTTACATGATAAGGTTAGTAATAATACATTATCTTGTTGCACAATGCCTTAAGGGAAATGTTTATATAAGTATCTAACTATATGTTATTGATCATGAGAAATATAGGTACGAAGAGAAAAAGAATTTCAAGCCCTAAAAATTGAACGTCTTATAACAAGTTTTCTAAACTCTTTATTTTCAAGATTTTCAAGTGTTTGTAAATATATTTTGTCAAAACTTTTTCTGAAATTTAAATTTCATAACTAGAGATATAAATAAATTTTCAACCCATCATAAGATTTCCAACATTGAAACTACATCTCCACTCAAACTTTAGGGATATGCCTTACTTCTATAGTATAGGGAGCCCACCTTATACAAACCTAACCAATGCCTTAATTCATTAACTTTTATGAATAAATATAAAGGCACGGTTAGCATTGTGGCCAAGGCCGCACATGTACAAATGCGGGCTTGGCAATAAATATAATTTAATCCTAATTTTTAGACACTATATAATCTTTAACATGGAGATCATAAATATGAAAAAATAAATAAATTTTGAAAACTAGAAATAATAATTATATTAATAAAACATTTGAACCGTTAGTTACTGTTGTTTTTGATAGACTACCTATTTGCATGCATCTTTAAGATGGATGGTTTATACCTCTGGACTGCATACTATACAAATACGATCCAGCCTGCATGAAACAATTCCTCTAAATATAATACACGTGCATAATGGAAAATGCATATTCTACCGCCCATTTACATCAACAGACGATGTAGATGAGCTACTATTCCACTTTCGAGAGGAATCACAATTCACCTCAACCATATGTTCACAAGTGTGGACTGTGTGGTTGAATTGTTGTGTATTCTATACACACAACATGTATTGTGCAATGTGCTCATTTTGAATGGGAAGAATTTAAAGGATATTCTAAGCTCCCTAACCTCCAACCATGGTCAGGTGGTGGACCACACAGGTCTCCACTATCCAACACTGCGTGAATGGTGGATCTTCCTAGGATGCGTACCACATGTCCCACGAGAGAAAACCTACTCTTCAATGCTGTTTTCCACTTCTTTTTAGAGTGAGATGCGCTTTTCTGCTTCGAGGAAATCGGGTTGCGTACAATTGTACTCCTATAAGTTGGGTTTCTTGTAGTTTCCTTAGTATTATCCCAACCGTCCAATGTCAATAATGGATGATTTGTATGATGTGAGGTGGAGTCAAGTTTTTTAAATAGAATTTTACATTATAAGATTATTTACTTTTGGTACAAAAAAATCATAATCTCTTTTAACCATTGAAAGTGAAATCAGAAAAAATTACCATGCATTGCCATAATGGAGAAATTTTACTTTGAAAATTTTTTTTGGTAAATTAGTAGGGGGAGAAGGCCCTCTACCTATATTTTGCACTAATAGATAAAATAGAAAAACTTAAAATCATATTAAGATACAACCCTTTCATAGGGCACCTGTCCTAAATCGTAGGAAAGTAACAAAGAGAAAATTCAGAAATTCTGGAGGCCAGGCTTTCCATATAGTAGCAGCCAGGATAGAAGTAATTCTCTTTGCAAACGCATTACCAACCATGTTGGATTCTTGAAAAATATGTGAAATCTGCCAAATATTACCGCACGAGGAGAGTCTATAGATGCAATTAGCAACAATTGTGTGAAGCAACAATGACGGCAACAAATAGAATCCATCAAGAGCAAAGAATCACTCTCAATAATTAGTGGAAAGCAATGGATCTGACTAGCAAGATCAATACCTGCTTCCAACGCAATGAACTCAGCAAAATTATTAAATGCAATCCCAAGAGGTTTTGCAAAAGCAATAATAAAAAGACCATTACTACAACGCAGAATGCTTCCACTACTGGCTATGCTTGGATACTGAAAAGAAACCTCATCAATGTTAAGCTTAAATAAACCAACAGGGAGAGGAGTGCAAGAGACTTGAAGAATGATGCAAGCCGTTTGCGAACGCTATTGTATTGCAAGATTTTGTATAAGTGGCCTTTAAGAGGTTTGGACAGATCATGATTTAACATTAGCAAGTTCTCTCACGTAACATGTGGTGATTTAACATTCGCAAGTTCTCTCACGTAACATGTG